AAAGTTGAAGCAGCAGAGGGAATATAGCCTTCTGGGTATGATACATCATGCACACATGCAACTGCTTCATCCACTAAACCACTTTGTTTCATCTGTTTACTTGGAGGAAGTATAATATTACCCTCATTATTTGAGAATTCTTGCGACTTCCTCTTAAAAGAACCCATCTTTCACTATTATTAATCCACAACCTAAAACAATTCAATGAAAGAAAGCCGTATTCAGTCAATGAAAACCCTAAACTATTTTAGAACATGTACAATATAAGAAATCAGTAAGGGTGAGGCAAACCAAGGGCGGCCGCGGCTCTAGGGTCTTCTCTCACCTTAGGCCCCCAAATAAGTCATTGATCCTTCCCCTTCCTCGGTTTTCTTTTGGCAAGCCCATTAAAAAAATACTAATTTCTATATAAAAATACCTCTCACTTTTAATTAAGTATTTAATATGAGAAGTAAAAAAAACTTTTCAGAGATATATATAAGGATAAATTTGTAAAAACAAATTGAATTCTTTCTTGATTATATAAATGGACATTTATTTTGGACCAAAATAAAAAAGCAAATTGGTCACTTAATGTGGACCGGGGTGAGTATATATGTAATTTATATTTATACAATTATTGATAAAATATTTTAAATTTTAATATTTATCTAAAATTTGGTAGATGTAAGATTGAATGAGTTAATACGATAAAACATTTCTCTCACTAAATTAAATAATATATTTACATTCTCATCAATTCTATTTTTCTTTTTTTCATATTTCTAATTTCAATTCAGATTCTCTAAAATAGCTTCTTCTTCTTTTTTGTCACATTTGATTGATCCACACATCAATAAGCAAGCTCTTTTATGTCTCATTTTTTTTTAACTAAGAAATCCAGAGACAAGTATCGTAAGGTTCAAAATACGATCGATAATAGGCTCAATCCTTTTATCATTTTCACTTAATGCTATATTTTTGTATAGGGGAGAATTCAATACCATATGACTTGCGCATAAACTGCGTATTATATGTTATTTTCTTACCACTTTTTTGTCTCAATACTATATGGATTTTATGAAAGAAATTTCAGTGTCTTTTAATATATTTTAGTTTTAAGCCACCAATTCCGCTGAGTCGCCCTCATTAATGATCACCAATTATTTATAGATCACTGCCTTATGAACGTGTTATTCAACCAGCCTCGTTCATATTTGGCAATTAAATAACACATTCACTAATTGTTAACTTATGTTAATTGAGACTCTATAAAATTTGATTGAGAATATCAGGGGATGGACATGTGGCTCAAGTAGTAGACTGGTAAAGCTTTAATTTACGTCCCCTTAATTTTTTAATAATGAATTTTATGATTTTGTTTCAAGTTAGACAATGTTAAAGTTTGAAAAAAAAAAACTTGGACAAAAGAAAGAAAAAAAAATATCTACTCTTTAACACTAAAAATATTTTAGAACTTTGAATTAAATTACTTAAATCTTCACATTAATAAATATATATATTTTTACAACAACATCAAAGGTAAACAATATATATTTAAGAATATTATACTATAAATAACAAGTATGAAAAAATGGCAACACTAACTTTTTTCTTCATATGTGTGTGTATATGTACTAATTAGAAAAGTATAAGGTCTTCGATTAAAATTTCGCGTTAGGCCACAAATTTTATGGAACCGCCCTTGAGGCAAACGAACCTTGTTCGTAAAGAAGAGATAAAACGTTTTAACTATTGAAGAAACACTTCCACAAACTCTAAATTAGGAGTTGAAATGGGCAACCCTTTTTAATAAATATTGGTGAAATTCAGCTTCTTTGTCTCTCAACTCTCAATTAAAATAAAGGAGGTCGGCGGTTGCAGTTGGAGGTCGTGGTGGCGACGTTTTCCTCAGTCATATTTCTAAGGCGGGGAGAGGGGGAAAGAGACGTAAAACTACACATGGTTACCTATAAGTAAGGGTGGCAAATGGGCGAGTTGGGTTAAATTTGGGCGAGTCAAAATGGGTTAGGTCAATAAATGGGTTATTGCCCAACCCAGCCCAAAGTGTACTTGGGCTAAGATGGGTTGAGTCAAGATGGGCTAAACAATGGGTCATAACCCAACCCGCCCAACTTGACCCATGTTTTAAAACCATGCTCATCTTTCATAAAAAAAGTCTTTTACCTTAAAATGTGTAAGTTGAAAAACATTTTGGGGGTGGGGGTGGGTGGACAATGCAGAAAAACGAAAAAGAAAATAGAAAATTGAAAATACCAAAAAAAATGTACAAAATTATTTTTTTTGAGNGGGGGTTAGGGGGTAGGGTGGGTGCTGCAGAAAATTAAAAAAAATAGAAAATTGAAGATACAAACAAAAAAGTAATTTTTTTAGGGGGTTTCCGCGCGGGGGAGGGGGGTGTAGAAAAACAGAAAAACAAAAAAATTGAAAATAAAAAAAAAGTAAAATTCTTTTTGAGGGGAGGGGGAAAGGTAGGAGTGGGTGGGTGGTGCAGAAAAACAAATGAACAGAAAATTAAAAATACAAAAAAAAAAGTAAAATTAGGACAACTAAGTAAATTTCTAAATAAGTTGGGTTAAGATTCCTTTATTTTGGGTGAGATTTATGGGTTGTATTTGGGCTGCTTAATGGGTCAGAATTGGCTATAAAAAATAATGGGTCAACTTGGGCTCACCCCAAATTGACCCACGAGCTACAATATTTGTAGCCCAACCCATTAATCTCTGGACAGATTGGTAGATTGGATGAGTTTGGGCTCAAATTATCACCCCTACCTTTAAGTACTAGAATCTAAATCTCGAGACTTTAGGTCGGTGGTGAAATGGCCTAAAATTATTTTTAGTTATATGTCCATTTCGAAAAGAAAAAGAAGAATTACACTCATTATCACTTGGCTCAATAGCCCATCAAAAAATGGTCCATGTTTGAAGTCATTACCCCGTATGGCCCAGGTTGTATATACTGTGAAAATTACTTTTCATCCATTAGTCTACTCCTTTAATTTTTGTTTTCATTTCTCTGTTCTTATTCTCCTTGTGTTCCAACTTTGCATCCTAAACTTTCTCCATCGTTGTTATTCTCCATCAACGGTCCTCCAGATTCAAAGCCGATAACCACTATATGGATGAAGAAGAAAAAATAATACATAAAAGAATTAGTTTTTCGGAGTCATATGAAGATCATTTCCTTCAATAGAGTGGAAAGAACTGTGTTTGCACTAAAGAGGTTCATGTAAAGTTTAAGGTAGATTTGAGTTAAATTCCAGAAGATCCCGAGAAAGAAGAAGAACATGTGAAGTTCCATCGATAGGATTCATCTGTATAATAATGTATAAAATTATATAAGTAGTATATAATAGTGTATAAACAACTCTCATACACAATAATACATTATTCACAAGTATTTGGTAAATTTCTCACATATTGTTCTTCTCCTATACGCATATACATAGGTATCACAAATATTTTTTTACAGTGCTTATACATCTTTATACACTTCTATACAACTATATACATAATGTACCTTTTTGTATAAAAGTGTATAATGTCGTATAAAAGTGTATAAACATCTCTCACGAACTTCTTATACGATATCACTTGCTATTCTTGTTCAAAACTAGTTCAAAACTCCATCAAATGACTTCAAACTTTGTATACAACTTATTTAGACTATTTCTAATAATTTCAAATAATCCCATTCCAAATTTCTCATAAAATCATATTTAAAATTTAACAAGATTAACATTGAAGAAGAAGAGATTTTAGGTTTCTCGCGTCTGTTTTTGCATTTTTGTAGATGGGATAGGTACGTGTATAAACTTGAGGAAAAAAGGAGTATGGAAACTCAAGGATCTTTCACGCTGGAAGATCTGGAGAATTAAAAAGAAAAAAGAAAAAAAATTCGGATATGAGTTTATTGATATTTGGCTACACATTTGCAAACTTGTAACTGAGCTAAAATACTGCAAGGTCACCTTATGGAGTGATCTATTGTATAATTCTTCCTAAAAAATGTGTTGAACATTTAGAAAAACATAAAATATGAAGTACAAGAAAATTTTCTATACTCAAACTGCAATCAGTTATTTTATAGCATTTTATCCGCTAGTTCCTTAATTTCTTTTTCTTTTTAATTTATGTGGACACTCAAGTCCATTTTGACTACAGTTTAGTTGATTTGACTATTAATAAGTGAAAATCAACTTTAAGAAAAAAGAAACATACCCCTTTATTGTAGTAGATGACACATAAGCCATAATTAAATTATGGTGATTTTTCTCACACCAAATAAACTCTGAAACTACTTGCGTAAATCATCATTCGGAGTTTAAAATTTTTATTTAACTTATATATCATAATAGAATAAAAAATAAATTTTTTGAAAAGATAGTTGCACATAAGCAAATAAGCATTATCTCTGGAGAGTAATCATAAAATTGAGGGAGAACGAAAGTGGATTCTTCTTTTACACGTATATATCAGAAATATAAGCCTATTCAAAACTCAAAATTCACTTATCCATATAGCATCTCAATGTAACTCTTTATGTTTCTCAAGGATTGATTTTATAAAATGTAGGACAGAATTAATTCGTCCTTTAAAAAGAAATATTACAGAATAGCATAAGTACAAGGTTTCAAACATTAATCACAGTAAGATTCATCAAAGAGAGCCATATGTATGACTCCTAAAAAAGCAAATTTGAACACTACATCCTTTTTTCATCCAAACATAAAAGAGCTAGCTAGTTTACGAAATACCATCAAGTGAACTAGCACACTAATCTTCAATCATCCAAGATAAGCACCTAACAATAAGTTATTAGTTAAACTCTCTGAGGGTGTTTTGCTATGTTAACCATGGTGCTTCAAGGGTTCAGAAGCCCAAGAGAATTATATTAGAAATCTACTACTGATGTCTGATGGATTTTAATGTGATCTCGTTAAGTCTAACTTCATAACTAATAGTCTTGCTTTTCTAATCAAGAAATAGCTGAACACCTTAAGGGAGGTGTGATCAACGTTAAGTACTATAGCACCGATCGGGCTAAATGTTCATACTTCCAGCAGCAGCTGAAAATTTATGGGAAATTAAATTCGGACAAAGTCAGAGTCCACTATTTACGATCAAGACCAAAATTTACCAATTGTTGATGCACGAGACCATTCATATCTACCCCCAAGTTTTCCCTAACATTTCGACTGATTATATATAGGGTATGAAAGTCGCGAAACTAGTAATGCAATGACTGCCTTAGGAGCTTAACTTAATGCTGTTTGTGTCCATCGTAATTATTGTCTTTTTCCTCATGACTACTATTATTCTTTTTAGATCCTTTTAGCTTCTTTGATCGGCTGCTCCCCCTTGGTGTACTCCCTCTACAGTCCCCATCATCATTCAGCTCAGATTCCACATTGTGATCTTCAGAATCATCAATTTCAGACCCTTTACTACTTTTAGAGAATGTTGCAGTTGCACCTTCATCAGGTTCCCATCGGCCTCTTTCCTCGATGTCTTCATTATGATGATATTGATAATCCCTATCTGAATCGACACTCTTGTTAGAACTTGGCTTTCTTTTATCTGTGACAGCAGCAGTCCAATCTCCAGTAGTACTACTATCATGGCTTGCTCTTCTCTTATCCCGTCGATCGGGCGATGATGGAGCACTGTCATGACGCCTAGACCTGCTTCTTCTTTTAGTTTTCTTGTGATGGCAATTTCTGTCTCGTATCTCACTGAACCACTCATCGCTAGAATATGTACTTTGATCTTCCTTCCAATGTCTTGGGCCCCTCTCTTTGTTTCCAGATCCTGCATCTCTATATCTAATCTTTTCCGGCAAATCATCATCAGAGTCAGAATGGCTAACCCCTCTTTTGCTGTCACCATTACAATGTCGATGCCCCATTTTTTCACTATGGTGGATTCTTGATCTTTTCCTTCTGCTGTGACTGCGCCTAATAACTCCCTCTCTCTCTCTCTCAGATAAATCCCCATCAGAGTCACTACTATGATATCTATTGTTACCATGTTGTCCTGTTTCCTCTACGTATCGTTTCTTATCAAGAATTTTGCGCCGTTTCCTATCAATACTGCCGTCTCTCTCTTGATGTGCCCTCTTATGACCATCATAATCCTTATAGTGGATCCTTGAATCCCTTGAGCTGGACCTTCTCTCCCTTGAATCCGACATTACAGAGCGATGCCTGTCAATTCTAGAAAATTTATCAGAAGTTTTACTTGAACATATAATAAATAGTAACAACAAAGTACGCTAACAAAAAAATATGCCTTTTCCTGTCGGTAATATTCGATGGTGCAAGGAAGCCATTAAGCATAGTTATTTTAAAATGGTCTTGAATTTTAAACCATGCTTTCTGCACTCTGCTTATATTACATAGAAACAGGAGAGAATTTCATCACAAGGGAAAAAAAAGAAAAGGGATGGGATGGGATGGGATGGGGGAACCTGCCAATTTGAGAACACACAGGTGACAAGATAAAATGATAGAGAAATAACATTCCAATATGTTCGTTGAACCCTATTCATTCAGGCATGGAGTATCAGACCATCTACACCTGTTCTAATATTCAACCAAATTCTTCTATACTGGATCCAAACAAGTAGTCAAAGGATTTCATACTTGCTCAAGATTGATATGCATCCATGTATTCACCCACACCTTAGTCTTCTGGAAAATTAAACAGGGAGATAATATATCTTTCATCTAAAATTAGAAAAGAATGATGAAACTGAGGGAAGAAAGAGGAGCCAACAGTAATCAGATATGGCAATCTGAACCCTGTATGACCCACTCACAACCGCGCATGATGAAACCTTATTCAAACTGCCCATTAGGTTAAAATGGGCTGATTGTTTCTTAAACCGTAATAAAATGGACTCATTTAGGTAGAAAACATTTTTGAAAATATTGTCAACTACTGTTATCTTAAAACTGAATGGGGAGGCATCAACTGATTTCCTCCACCAATTGTAGATTTTCTCTTTAATATGATACATATCTGTAGCTCAACTTGTGCTAGGTGGTTTGTTAAAAAGAAAAATTACTATTATTTTAACACCTCTATTTATAATTCATTCATATTTAGCCAATCAAAGAGTGTTGGCATTTTTCTAAAATAGTTCCTGCAGCCTTGCCTCTCTACCTCACACAAGGTAGGGGGGTAAGTATGCATACACTCCACCCTCCCCAGACCCCACTTGTGAGATCATACTAGCTATGGTGTTATTTGAAAAGATGAAGTTGGTTTCAGTGTTTTGCTTTTCAATAGTTAATATTTGTGATTTGTAGATGCCTAGTACATTTTTAGAAGTGTCTGCGATGAACTTGGGAATTGCAAGTTTGCAACAGCATACATCACAGAAAATTAGAGAACTGAGTCGCTACGCTAAGAGGAATCCAGAACAATAAATGTATTCACAGAAAAGGAAAAATATTCCAAGTTCTGTATTCATGGATTTATTTAATCAGGCATTGCAAATATTTCTAAATAGAAAGGTGAGCTGTAGAATGGAGACCCAATCCATCATATTGATTTATTCATGCACTTAGGTCAAAGAGTAATTGGTTTTGTCTCATTTACATGTCCAAGATTGGTTGCAATATGGTTAGATTAATTTTTTCACTGAAAGACTGGGGAATATTATTTATCATATTTCTACAACTGTCTTCATTCCTAAAACATAATGTAATGAATGGAATTAAAATTTTCTATATTTTTTAAGATTGGTATTTCACTGAAAGACTGGGGAATATTGTTTATCAAATTTCTACATCTTAATTCCTAAAACATAGTGTAATGAATGGACTTAAATTATCTATATTTTTTAAGATGGGCAATGGCTAATCAAAGAGTTTTTGCCTTTTCTTTTTTCTACATTTGTGTACAAAAATACAGGTTTGAGCCGAATTACCCATCATCTAACCCAATTTTGACACGCATTAAACATGGGTTGGGTTTTGACCCAATTTTCTTTAACTGTTCTTAACCCGCTCAAATTCAACACAACCACCTGCTAGCCACCACTCACATATCCAACAGGCATGCCTCATTGTAATCTCTTAAAATCTGATAGCCATCAATGAAGTATCAATATAATCTTTTATGAAGACTTAAGCATCAAGATATTATCGCTAAACTATCAAGTTCGCAAGAAAGATGCAAAAAGCTAACAAACCTGTCAGAATCAGCTGTCGGCATCTTGTAGGAATTCAACATCCATTCTGAGTTTTTCCGTTCAAGCCGTCTATCATAGACAGACTCATCAGTGTATCCAAACAAAGCAGCCATCTTTTTTAACCAGTATCTTGGCGGTGGTTTATCCAAATCTGCCCATTCATAATCCCCACCAGGATTGCGGAAATAATGGATGAAGTTGCACGTCATTCCACGAGAGCATGACTGTCAATACATGTGTGTAATTCATGTTAATAAATTAGGAGATAAAGATGATCTTAAGATCAGAATCAGGGAAACAATAAAGATGTTATTTAACTAATCTACTCCCTAAAATAATGCTGACAAAAAAAAAAGAGTAACTAAGTCAGAACACATCACATAAGCAAGAGTAGTGAGATTCAAGCTGTACCTTAAGCTTCGATTTCATGAATTCCCCACATATGGCAACCTTCCATTTTGTTACACTAACAAACTCGCATGTAATCTATCAAGAACCAGAAGAAAAGCAATTGTCATTACATTCTAAACCAAGTCGTTCAAATGCAAGTAAGCAAAGTGCATATATGGGGTATTGTGATCCCTAGAAGTGTGTCATTAGGGCGTTAGTATTATCAACCTCGACTCTCCAAGGTAAACAGAAAACAATAGGCTGTAATCAAAAGGGGAAATTTCATTTGCTTCACTCGGTCAGCTCTCTTTAAAAGAAAGCTAATTAGAATAACAAACAGCAAAATGCATCTCATTTGAACCACAAACCATTAACTTGAATGGAAGTCAAATACCTGTTTGCCAGCAAAGTAACGGCCATTAATAGAACGATAAGCAAGCACCGCAGAATCTATATCTTTGTAGTGTACATAAACATTCCCTCGCAAATGAGATGAACTGTTTCTACACACCTACATGTGGAAACATATTTGTTGGTTACCCAGATTAAAGGAGAACTCCTTCAATAGCAGTATTACTTTGCAAATAAAATTCTCATTGTCATGTGATACAGCTCTCCAAAAGATCTCCTTGGTTTAGCTATATTGTTACATGTTTTAGATCCTCAAGGCTTCTTTTGGATTTCAAGAAAGTTGATTTTTTTTTTTTTNTCCGTTCAGAAATCCGGCACCTTTTGCAGGACTTATGTTGGACGAAAGTTGTTTTGTGGGAAGGTCATTACGATTCCCATGACTTTCCTGCTTATAAAATGCACCTAAAGTGCAAAGTAACTAACTTTTAATACTTCTTTTTTGCTTCCTTGGCAACCAAATATACCTAAGAGAAAAGGCTAGAATATTGTAAGGCACCTCAACAACTCAGCTTTTGAAATCATCCTTCTTTCATCAAGGAGTCGTGAAACTGTAAGTTTTTACTATGTGCAACATGCTTTAAAAGAGTAGGAAAGGGCACTGCTCACTTCAAACAGAATATCCCTGCTGTCACTGATTTAGGAACTTACATCCTAAATTGAGGACATAGTAGCAACAGAAAGAAAGAGAAGTAACTACCTTGAAATTTATAATTTCTCCAAACTTCAAAAATTCTGTGTGAACATCCTCATAGAATTCCTCATAACTACGTTCAACTTCCTCATCTGTACACTGTAGAAAAAAGAACAGTGGACCACAATTGATTGCATAAACATATGCATAGTATATGAAATATAAATAGAAGTTCAAATACAACTAGCAAGTACTTAACAACTAAATATTCAACGGATTACCAACAAGCTCTATGATAAGCCAAGACCAGAAAGACTCTTAAGGTTTTGCAGATAGACTACATAAAACTACCCAAAAAAATTTAGTAGCCATACTCATGTACGTACAAAGACTATGCAGGTATAAAGAATTAAATCAATAAAGGAAAATCCAGAATTTTAACATTTAGCACTGGACAGCCTACTATTATCTAAAGATCATTAATAACCCTCAACTTTGCTAAAACTAATAGCTTCGGTTGAAGTGTGTGACCATCTCATTTAAAAACTTAAGTTGTTCGAGAGAGCACACTTTTATTTATACTTAATCATGTCTTCAGTATGATCCCTAACTTATCTTTCAAAATACCAATGGGATACAGTAGTAATACCTTGTAATCCAATTAAAAAATAATTTCTTGTCAGTCTTCCTTTTATCTATTACCAAAAACAGAAGGGTAAATAACATGAAGAAATGCAAAATATAGAAATCACAAACATACAACAACTGTTACATTCATAATTCTTTGGCTCACTTTGCAAAACAAGACACAGAGCTCGATAAGAGTCTCCAGCTGATGCGCGGAAGAAACACGTACCTCCAGAATTTTCAGGGCAGATATTCTGTTTTAAGGGAGTTAAAGAACAAACAGAAAAACTTCTACAAACTTAAAGAAGAGTGAATTCGATAAACAAGAAAATAGCCACACAGAAAAAAAGAGGATTAGTGTTCCAGCCACATCTTGACATCATATTTCATTACTGACAATTGACAACCAACATCGATCCAGTACTGATGCAAGTAAAGAAGTAAAAAAGGAGACACACCCAAAAACTGAGAGACGTATCTATTACCACTCACATTAGTGCTTTTTCGCTTTTGTATTGAGAAGCATAAGAAGCCTAAGGAAGAACTGACCAATAATAATAGAAGTTCCAAAGAAATGCAGTAACTGAAAACTACTAAAGATTGACAACAACCAAAATCAGGATACTAGAGCCACATGAAGACTTCACTAACAGACCTCAAGCCCCTCATCCTGCTCCCAAGCAAGACCAGGTCCAGCATACATGTTCTTCATGAGCAGTGTGCAGGATTTATCAGGATAAAAATGAACCCTACTGCAGCGTGAACCAAATCTACAAGCCCCAGTTTTTAGGTGGAAAGGACAATGAGCTTTATCCTGCCATGAGATAACCAAGAAAGCAGATGGTCATGATAGACAAAATGAGAGGAGAGAAGAGAGTAATTATTTTGAATAATAGAAGTTTACGTTAAAGAAATAGAAACAAAATGTCATCATTACTAAGGCGGATCTACATTCAGAAAAGGACATACTAATTACTAATTAGGATTTGTAGATGTCTACCTGCTCAGTTCCAAAATTCGGAGTTTGTAGAGCAACATTCTCCAATAACTGCAGTGCTGAAAGAGATGAAGCATTCTTGTAGTCAGCAAAGACTTCAGATTGTGGAGGCAGTGGATTGGATGTTGGCCTATTGGGATCCTGCACCGGTAAAGGACAGCCTTTACATTCCATCTATTTTGGCAATCACTAGGTGATAGGATTTTGAAAGAGGACAAACTATGGCTTTGGGAAATACACATAGTATAGAGAACTACAAATCAGTACCTCTTTAACAATCACATGATTGGGATCCTTCTTTTTTACTTTCACTTTATTCCTCTTCACAATTATCTCATTTCCTTGCCATATAATTTCGGGAGGCCCATCTTCTACATATTCCCACTCGTCATCTCCATCTGATTCATTCTCAAGAGCAACCTGCTAGGATTGCATGTATANCAGTGAAAGATTTACAAAACAATAGAAGAACGGGAGTTTTTGTATAGAACCATGTCTTTTTGTAGGTTCTTCCTTTTTCGGTATACCTCTTGTATATGAGAGTTCTCCAATTTCTTAATGAAACTACTACTCACTTGATTAAAAAAATAAAAAATAAAGGTTAGCGAAACAAGATGTCAGAACTGTCTGCAACTAAGCAAGCAATAGTTTGTTCACCGTGTTAAACTGGGTAACACTGATGATTTAGATCAAAGGACCAATACCTGAATTGTTATGCATGTCAAATAAGACACTCATTCACACACATATCTCACCAAACCTTGCTATAACGGCAATAGAACTACCTGTGCACATAATTGTGCGCTGTATGCTAAGGTCAATAATCTGGAAAGCACAAACTAATTTATGCAATCAAAGAAGCACGTGATATGCTACATGTTCCACTCGGTTTATGTAGACATATTCTTGTTCCAAATGTTGAAACCAAAATAGAATAGTTTGGTTTCACAATTTTTCTGCAACGACCAACTCTCATGCACATTCTCTCTGCACCGTGGTCATTCTTAAACTACTACCTATTTTTGCGTCTCTAGAAAATATGAAGCATTCACCAAAATGTTTCCTACTGCTTCAAATTTCAATCAAGTCCCAAAATGCAAGATTCTCTATGCTTGACTTAAAATTAACGGTCGTACAACAATTGGTAGAGTCAATTGCTATGCATTTCCTTTTATAAACAAAAAAATGCTAGCAAACTTATGACTAATTTCATTACTACCTCAATTTTGTTATTCATCACGTAATGTCCATTGTACAATCATCTAGTAACCTTAGTTCCCAACGTGCTAGCACTATATTCGAATTTTATTTTTTATAACTGATAAATCCCTAAGGGCCAGTGGCACCTGAACCTGTATGTGCATTTAACCCCCACATCACGTGTGACGCTTAGACCAAAGCCTTGGGGCCTATATTTGATCTAACCAGGTTAATGAGCAAACATGACCAATAAAGTTAATACACAATCCACATAACTCAAAGTTGACTGCTAAAACTAAATAACTATTCGATGCATACATCTGCATATATTTCTCTAAGCTAACAAAGATAATGTGAAAGTGCGCTTGGCACGAAGAATTTGTACCTGGCTTTGTTTCGCTTTTTCTTCCTCATCTTCTGCTCTCCTTCGCTCTTCTTCTTCTTCTTCCTCCTGAGCTTTCTTTCGAGCCAGTTCTTCGAGGAAGAGTCTTTCTCTCTCCTCAAACTCTCTCCTTTCTCTCTCTAATCTTTCCTTCTCTTTCTCCTCCTCCAGCTGAATCCTGCGAAGCTCCTCCGGATCATTCAGCTTAGCCTCCTCTTCCTGGCGCGCCTTCTCGGCGAGTTCCTTCCTTTTCTGCTTCCGTTTCTCCTTCTTAGTCAACCTCCGTTTCTCCTTGCGATTTTTGCATATCGCCGCCGCCGCACCGCATTGTTGAAGTTCCGATACTTGCCGGTCGTCTTCTTCGATTGATATCGGTTCCGTCATACGTCTAGGGTTTCAATAGTGTCAGTACAATGGTTTGTATGAAATGAAATTGGTTTCACCTTCTGAATTTTGATCAATACATACATTTCAATTTCATAGTAGCAGCCTAGCACGCACCTTTGCTTAAAGTTGTAGTATTTGGTTTGCGTATTTGTAATGGAAAAAAGGAAAAGACACGGACATGAAAATTAACCCGCACCAGCTGTAAATGACATGCGTTAGTCATTTTTAAGCTGTGTTTAAAATGTATTTAAATATTAGTTAATTTTTCTTAAATTTTAGGGCACAAAATTGAACTTCACAATATCGTGTCCTAAAATTTTAAATTGTATCTTGAAGTTTGAATCATATATTTTGTATTTTAAATTCAAGACATTGTGTCCTAAAATTCGAAAATTGTATGCTGAAGTTCGAATTTTATGTCCTGAATTTTAAATTAGTGGTTCAGAAATTTAGGACACTTAGTCCTGAATTTTAAATTAGCAGCTCGATATTAAGTCCTGAATTTCTGAATTCATGATACTTAGTCCTCAAGTTTGGGTGAATTGGTTAATCTTTAAGACATTATAAATTGTGGATATATTTTAAATAGTGGGCTTAAATATGACTATTGTCGCGCTTCGCCCGCATGGGGTGGGGGACACGTTAATAATTTCTTTTTTATTTTTGACATCATGATATTTGCCATCTTAAAAGAGAAAATACTTCTTAGAAATTATTGTGTTCCAAGTTAGAGAAAATCTTTAATTATTTTATGCATTATTTTTAATTTTCGTAATTTATAATTAAAAAATAATAATAAATTTCACATACTTTCATCAATAAGTGCAAAACTATTTAAACTTTTCAGTTTTTTTCCTCTTAAATAATCTTTGGGCCAGGTCAAAAGAAAACAGGGAGAAATTCAAAAATAGTCAAATTTACAATTGGTCGTTCAAAAATAGCTCAGTTTCAAAAGTAATCGAAATTTAGCCATTTTTCATGTAAAGATAAATTTGAGCGAAAATACTGTTCAAAACCCGGAAAATATGTTAGTATATTATATTGGAGTTCCAGCATAAGTATGTTTGAACTCCAGCATATTATACTGGAGTTCCAGGATAAGTATGCTGGAACTCCAGCATAATATGATGGAGTTCCAGCATAAGTACACTAGAACTCCAGCATAATATACTGGATTCCAGCAAGTATAATTGTCCAGTATAATATACTGGAGTTTGGAGCACCGGTGCTCCAGTCTCCAGTATATTATACTGGAGTCAGCAAAATATACCGGTCCAACATAATATGCTGGAGTTCATACACAGGTGCGCCAAACTCTAGTATATTATGCTGGACCGGTCTCTGTTGCAACAAAATAGTGGCTATTTTTCATTGACTTCATAAACGCTGGCTATTTTTGAATGACCAGTCCGAAAACTGGCTATACCGTGCTATTTTTACAAGAAAACATGAAGACATACTTAGTAACTACCTGTTGAACAAGCATGTAGTTCTGTCTGTTAATGTGCAAAATAGTATAGAACATTTATCTAGGGAAATACAAACACTCTCCTTTTGAACATCAACTGAGTAAAAAAAGTTGCCATTAATGGAAATTACTAGTTTACCTTTTCATTTCCTTCAGTTTCTTTCCCGAAATCATACTTCACGGCTCCATCTAAAGGTGAAATAAATTTTCTTCTCAATTCTTTTGCCAATTAAATACCATTATGTATAGAAGTTAATAAACTAATATAGAAAGATTAGTCTCATTGTTTGAGCAATTTCTGCGGTAAATTCAGTTCATGAGATACATCCACTTTCAATTGGTAAGTCGTGACTATGCAGTTTAGATTAGTGGAAAAGCACTGTTATTATTCTTCTGGAAAACAATGGTTGTCGGGAAGCGTGTTAAAGTAGGAGGTAAAAAATATTTAAAAGAGAAAAGTAATAAATTACGCAAGATAAGGCAAGACAAGATTTATGTGGTTAGACAATTTTTGCTTACTTCACGACCATACAAAGAATAACTCTTTATTAATTGAAAAGAAAGAGGAAGTTGAGGGATGATCTGCTAATGAAAAGACAGACCCCTTTTATACGTATTTGAATGTCATGCGTAATCACTTACGTCATAAGAAAAAAAATTTAGAGATAACTTCTTCCGCCTATCATTATGTTTCATACTACTTTTCTTGTCTCTTTGATTTTTCTTTCTTTTGTGTTGTCTATTTTCTTTCTTCCACATACAACAAGGTTTGCTCCCATCATTCTCCCTCTCAAACGTATGTTACATCAAGAAAAAAACTAAAAAAAGATTTGTTATTCTCTGGTGGCGCCTTCACGTTATCAGTCTTGAAGGTTAATTGAGGCAGTGCACAACCTCAGTTTGTCAACACCGATAACTTTGGTCAACATTTTTGACGGGTTCTTCGATCCTGGTATCTTTCGTAAGGAAAGAGTTTCTTCACGTATCAACTCTCGGATATGATGATACCTCAACTGGATATGCTTCGATTTTGCATGAAACACTAGATTCTTGGCAAGATAAATTGCACTCTAGGTACTGCTGAAAAGCTCACAATTGTCGTACTATTTACCTAGCTCTTTAAGAAAAATCTTGAGCCAAATCGTCTCTTTTTCAGCTTCTGAGATTGCCATGTACGCTGTTTCAGTGGTAGATAGCGCAACATTTTTCTAAAGTCTGGACATCCAGCTAAAATCAGTACCATCACCCAAGGTAAACACGTAGCATGTGGTACTTTTTCGACTATCTAGATCGCCGCCTAAATTTGCATCAGCAAAACCTTGTAAGATAATATTGCTCCTTTTAAAACAAAGTGCCATGCCTGAGGTGCCTTTGAGATATCGCAATATCCATTTTACACCTTCCCAATGCTCCTTTCCTAGATCTAACATGTATTTACTGACAATTCTAACTGCATGGTCTATGTCAGGTCTAGTGCAAACCATAGCATACAACAAACTTTTTGCTGCTGAAGCATATGGAACTTTGGACATGTACTTCTTTTCTTCATATTTCTTAGATCATTGGTCCTTCGACAGATTAAGATGGCTTCCGAGTGGAGTGCTTCTTGCTTTGCATCATGAATTGCTTCTCATCAAAAGCACTTTTTTTTTAGAAAAGCACTTCTCAAAATAAGCTAATTTTAGAAGCTTGGCCAAACAAGCTATAAGACATATACTTATTAGTAACTACTTGTTGAGGTCTGTGTGTTAATGTGAAAAATATAGAACATTTATCTAGGGAATTACAAACACTCTCCTTTTGAATATCGACTGAGTAATAACCTGTTTGGCCAAGCTTTTTTTGGCTAAAAATTGAGGTGTTTGGCCAAGCTTTTAGAAGGAAAAAAAGTATTTTCGAGGAGAAGCAGAAGCGATTTTTAGAAGCAAAAAAAATATCTTCTCTCCAAAAATACTTTTTTGAGAAGTACTTTTTAGAAAAATACACTTAGAAGCAGTTTTTAAAAGCTTGGCCAAACACTAATTACTGTTCAAAAGTACTTTTCAAATTAATTAGCCAAACACAAATTGCTTCTCACGAAAAGCACTTTATAAAAAAATACTTTTGAGAAAGGCACTTCTCAAAATAAGCTGATTTTAGAAGCTAGGCCAAACAAGCTCTAAGAAAGGTTGCCATTAATGAAAATTACTAGTTTATCTTTTCATTTTCTTTAGTGTTTTTTTTTTCCGAAATCATTCTTCACGGCTCCATCTAAAGGCGGAATAAATTTTCTTCTCAATTCTTTTACCAATTGAATGCCATTATGTGTAGAAGTTAATGTCACGATCCTAATTTTCCTTCGTAGGATGTCGTGACGACACTTAGTCTCCAAGACTAGGTAAGTCTAACACTTACTGAATTAATAGCAAAATTTAACCAACAACAATGAATTTCAATATGGAAATTTCCATACAAGCCAACAATCCAAAAATCGGTAGTACAAGTCATATGCTCTACTGAGTTTGCTAGAAAATCCCTATATACGACTGTTTCGGAATAGAAATAAAACAGTACAAATACAATATCAGAAGGTGACTCCTAGGCCTGCGAACACTACGTCAGGTTTACCTTGAGTCTTCACTGCAAAACCCGAACAACTAGCTATTGATCAACCAACTCCGAAATACCTAGATCTACACAAAAATATGCAGAAAGTGTAGCATGAGTACACCACGGTGTTACCCAGTAAGTATCAAGACTAACCTCAGTGAAGTAGTGATGAGGGACAGTTAGGACACCTACTGGACTAAATAATCTGAACAAGTATGAAGGTGAATTAATGGGGAAACAATGTTAATATAAAGTTAAGCATGGTAAGGAATACAAAACAATACTTGCAATGAAACACTAGAAACAACGGTTAGCAACAAGAAGCAAACAAATAGAAATATTGTAGAGTAAGTTAGACACAACTTAAGTCCGATGAGACCAAATAAAGGAAAACAAGTACAATTCAACAAGAACAATCGCTTTTACACCAGATCTATTCAGGAATTTCCACGAGGTACCAAACCTCATCACACCCTTTATGGGTGTAACCATGAGCAATACCCTCTCTCCGACCATGAACGCAACATCACAAAGTCTACGGTCGACATTACTCTTTTGCCTAGACTGAGCTGTGCGAAGGCGATCTCGAATAATCTTGATCTTATCCAAGGGCATCATGTACCAAAACTGTACCCAACAACCGAGCCTCCCCCGACTCAAATCATCCAACTGGCGAACGACACCACCTTTCATATAATGCCTCATAGGGAGCCATCTGAATGCTCGACTGGTAGTTATTATTGTAGGCAAACTCTGCAAGTGACAACAAATGATCCCAAGAATCTCCGAAGTCTATAAAGCAAGTGTGGAGCATATCCTTCAATATCTGAATAGTGCGCTCGGACTGTCCGTCCGCCTGAGGATGAAATATTATGCTCAACTCAACCTGTGTGCCCAACTCACATTGTACTGCCCTCCAGAAGTGCGAGGTGAATGATCACAGCCAAATCTGCACCACTAATAGGTAGTGAGAGAGGATCGCAATAGCTTTTACCCGATTTAGGGTCGGGATCGATATCCACATAGAGCTAGAATTGGAATTAAGTGTCTATTTAGCCTAGGATTACATAGCGTTCCAAATTGCACTTCTATTCATTTTTGGGTTTTCTTTT